ATATTAATCTTGTTTGTGGTACATATTGATATGACAAAGTTGCTATGTACTCAATGCTTGGGTGAAATCTCGTAATTTGGTATATATATTCAATTTGAAACAAAAGTGATAAGAACGGCTTATCTATGCTTCGTTTCATATCTTGGTTATTCTTTTATGGATTTCTTTTTCTTCGGGTATGTTAGTATATGGAAATCCCATTTTCGCAAAATCGTGGGGTGTGGTTCTTTTTAGTAAAATAGATTTTCCTTTCTCATATCCGTGAAACAAATTCAAAAGTAACTTTACTGCGGTAATCTTTGTCACTAATCTAAGATCAGATCTATGTATATACCTTGGCAGGTTAACATGTGGTTTAAATTTGTTCATGTTATCTACTTCTACTGTTGTTAATGGCTTACTCTTCATTATTTCGACTTAATAGAAGCAATCATAGAAATTGTAAATATTCAAGTTTTTACTGAAGCTTATCTAACTAAATTATCATGCTTTTGGTAATAGCCTCCACAGCCATCAAAAAAGCCTTACCGAATTCCAATTTTTTACAAGCCTGTAACATGTTAATTCCTAGTACCTGATCGTTCTTAACTGGGTCGACAATCATCACTGTTTGTTCTTCTGTTTATAGCCATGCTTTTAACGTGCTTTCAGTTGTTCGCAAAGATCTTCGTATTAAAATGTTAAAAACAACCGAGAACAATTTTAGAGATTAAACGTTAATGAATTTTAGAATTTAATTAAGTGAGATAAAAGAATTTGTTTTCTTTATCCAAAGTTTTCCTTGCATTTTTTTGTTTATTATAAGTTAAATAAAAGAAAATGGCAATGGAAAATACTCCTTTACGTATAAAAATCAAACCTTCAAGCTATACGTATAAATCTATTAAAACTCCTCCATTGTCATCCCCAATATCTACTTTCTTTCGAACAAATAGAACAAATTATGTTTTGATTTTCTTTATTGCGGTTTATACGTTAATTTTAATAATTGGTCTCGGAATCTATGTAATGCTTTATAATCAAAATACCGATATCACTATTTTAGATGTTAAATGTGACCTTCCAGAATTACCTAACTTATTTAGAGACGATTCTGTACGCGTAGATATTCAAAGAGGTGAATTAATTTATATATCTACATATAAATATATACATACATACATATATATACTTATATATATATTTTTGATTACCGTTACAACGTTATGAAATAGGTCCCGGAATAGGTCACGTGGTTTACTCAGAAAGAACAAACACTCAATATGTTAATGTTACCGGGTGTCCCAATCAATCAACTTTCTTATATCATTACAAGTCAATGGATCTTTCATGGGCTGTTTGGGATCAAGAAAAGGATGGTTTACTTGTTTTAAACGAGTCATATGTTTTATTACAATGCATGGATAAATCTAATGCCAGCATGATAAGAAAAGATATAAAAAAAGTTGACGTAGAATTTAATAAAGAACTTAAAAAACGTTTGTACATATAAATAATCTTTGAAATATATATTATATATCTTTATTAATGCTAGTATTTTGTATCAATTTTCAGGAAATTCAAAACATTCAGCCCCTCTTGTAGACGATGTAGTTATGATTCTTTTAGAAGCAGAATCTAGAGAAAAATTTAAACAAGAATTTCCACGTTTAATGGACTTTTTTAGAAATATTGAAAGTTATACAAGTGGTTCTCATAAATGGTTTTCTATGGAGAGATATAATGTATTGGGTCGTAATTCTGCTCCAAATAAACCTTATATTTATTCAGGACAAAGTTATTGGAATTTAGAAGCTAGGTATAATGGAAATTGGATTTGGGATATATTTGAGGAACAAGGTTTTATTACTGCGCATTCTGATGGTTCTTGTGGTGGGTTTTTAAGTCACTCAGATTGGAGTACCAGCGATATAAGTTATTGGTATTTTCAAGAAAAATCTCGAAATGGAAATAAACGATTATTGCCAGGAAACCATCGTTTCCCTGTAGATTCTATATGCGATAACTATATCCTTTCAAAGAAAGGTCAAGTTGAAAGTTCGAAATTTGAAAATTCTTGTATATTTAAGAATAGTGTCAGTAAGTCGATTTTTATGCAAGGCTTTATTTTTGGTCAGAGTCCTTACTGCTTAGGACAAAAGACATTGGCGCAACATTCATTGGATTGGATTGAAGATTTTCTCTATGAATATTCTGGAGAAAAACGATTTATTACATCAACTTTTTTTGACACCAATGTAGAAGGAAGAATTAATTCTAGGTTAGAAGATGATCTGTTGAATTTAATAAAAAAGATGATTTCTAAAGAAACGCCTTTGCTATCTAAAAATAGGTACTTTCTTTTTTTTTTTTTATAGAAATATTACTTCTATGTACATTTAAAACTAATAGTAAGCTTTTTTTTGTTATAACAGTGCGATCATGATTTATAGCGACCATGGCTTGCACTATGGTAATGAATATAGAACATTCGAAGGTTATTTGCATCATAAACAACCCATCATGATGATGTTGCTGCCAAGTCAATTACTAGAAACTTATCCAGAATTTGAATCATCTCTTGATATGAACAGAGATATTCTTTCGACACATTTAGATTTTCATCAAACCTTATTACATCTTGCATATGGTAATGATGATACGAACCGTGATAATTACAATAAATACGTTGATTATTTTCTTGCAGGCTTTAACGAAAATACCAAATCAGATGTACTTATAGATATAACAGATGCTGAAATTTATGGACAATCGTTTTTAACACCAATGTCTAAACAAAGAACTTGCGATTCATTAAACATTCCAGGAGAATTATGTCCATGTTTAGACTTTTCAAAACTCGATTATAAAGACATAGAACAAAAAGAATTAATAGATAAAGCGATGATTAAAGGAACAAATTATATGAATAAGTTCTTAAAAGATAATCATTTAGATTTCGTATGTAATCTATTTCACTACGATACACCTGATAACGAAAGAACTGATGATAATTATAACTCGATAAGTTTCGGCTCCGGTTTTTTTAATAGGAATTTGGCTCCTGAATATGAGATGTATCATGTGACAGTAAAAGTGAAAAATTTTGATTCATCATTGACTATACGTACAAGTAAGAATGAATTATTATGGTCTTTAGTAGATGAAATTTCAAATTTAGAAGTTTATCAAGATTCTGTGTCTGAACTGGAATGGAACATCTGTAAATCTAGATTGAGAAATGAATTGGGAAAATCTTTAGATAGGGAAGTTGAAAAGATCGCTAAACATTTTTGTTTTTGCGTAAAATAATTTTTATTTAACTTAAATTATTGAATGACAATTGTAAATATCATTAACAGAGAATTATTCTTATTCGTGAAGTTTGTACATTTATAAATTTGTATAATAATGATAAACATCTTGTTAAAAAAAATAAATAAATCAAATACAATTAGATAATGCGTAGCATTACCGTAGAGTGTGAAGATTTATGCATCTTACCAAGGTGCGCTAACAAAATTTCACAGTCACGTGGGTGTTAGCCAATTAGAATGCTGTTAGCGCTGATGTATGTATGTTCTGGCTCATTTCATGATTTCGATCAATTCCGGATTGACCTAGATCATTCTTAAATTCTAAAATGAACTAGTTCATTTCACAAACGGTGAAAATTTCGCGAACGGTGAAAAATTTAAAAATATCAATTAAAAATTATACGTCTAAACAATAAATTATATGACTAAGCAATGTATTAATTATATTATTAATGTTCTTTCGCATGAAATAAAATATAAATTTTACATAAAAAAATTAAAAAATACGTATAAAATTTTTTTATAATAAAATAGCTATATTAGAAAAAAATGCTTCAAATAAAAAAATTTTGCATAATAAAAAATGCATAATAAAATCAATAAAAATTCATATAATTAATAAAAAAAATATGCAATACAATGTAACCTTTCTCTAATTACACTATCGGGATCATAGTAACTTTTTTAAAAAATGTGATTACAAAGAGTTGTGCTTATCATTAAATAGAGGTTTTTTTTTATACATTTATAATAGTTGGAAGTGCTTATAAAGTAAATTTTTATAGGATGTGCTTATATGGAAGGTGATCATAGGGTGGTTTGACTATATGTACATACAAATAATTAAAAAAAAACTTGCATAGTTAATAAGAAATGCATATAAAAAAAATCGCATAATTAATAAAAATGCACAATAAGGCATATAAAAAAATTTGCATAATGTAAATTTAAATAAATTCTCATTGATTTTTACAATCATTGCGTAGAACACATCCACATCACTGTGTACTTAGTAAGTTATTTTTTCGACAGGAACAAGCATTAGTTGAGTAGTTGGATTTTTGGCAGCGACAATAATTTGAATGATAATTTTGAGATGCTTGCTTTGGCTGATTATTGCTAGATAATTATAATTTATTAGCTCACTATTGTATAATTGTTATGTAATAATTTATATACTTACTTGATCAAACTATTATCATTATTGCTTTCATTATTTTGGCTTGAAAATTGATTCAATCATTCATTATTTTGTTTAAAGCTTGCTTGTCTTAATGAAATAGTTTTGTTTAATGGAACTACATTAAGAGAGGAATAATCTAAGATTCCAAGTGACTCAATTTTGCTTGCTAGATACCAATTTTCAAGCATTCCATACTGGCAAGCAACTTGATATGAATCAATATTTGGTTTTTTTTGAATGACTTTGCATGGTAAGGACCTTCAGCTTATTTTATTCTTATTAATATCAGGTATACAAATTTTAACAAATTCATCAGGCTCAAACATTCATTTACGTTTGCTTTTATATTTTTCTTCTATTACACTTCATATAAGCTTCTGGTTTCTCTTTATATTTAAAATTGCTAATTGTCAAATTGTTTCATGTTGTTTAAAAGATGGATGAGTCAAACTTGTACTAGTTGATGACTACAAAAATTTTTTTTAATTATTAATATTTAAAAATTTTTTAATGTATTTTTTTTAGTTTACTGTAATTAACCTTAATTTCATTTGTTTAAGATTGCCATTTCTTCTTTTTTTGCCAAATATAACGTTAATTTCACTTGAATCATTGTCTGAATCAACAATTTCAATAATTTCTGAGACTAGTGTATTCTTAGAACACTCTTCAATTTCAGAATTATATAATGACTCATTATAAAACTCTTCAATTTCAAAATTATATAATGATTCATTATAAAACTCTTGTTTGTCATAATCATTATTATATTGTAATTTATTAGCATTATCCTGCATTTCATTTGCATCATTCTACATTTCATTTACACCATCTTGTATTTCATCTATATTATTAATTTCTTGTATTTAAAGTTTGAAATCAGAATTTTTTTAAATTTGAATTTTATTTTAATTAGATATTTTATTATAACTTAAATTTAATATTCTAATTTATTTAAATCTAGAAATTAAATCTAGTTAATACTCTACCTCTTGTGACTTTTTAAAATATATTTCATTAAGTTCTGATTCTACCTCTTGTAACTCCTCCAAATATATTTTATCAAGTTCTAATTCTGTTGTTTTACTATTGATTTCAGAAACAATAATTGATTAGGAATCTTCAGATACTAGAACATGTTTATTTAATAATTCTTTATTTTTGAAAAGAAACTCTTTCTGCAAATCCTTTACACAAATCTTAACTAAAAATTCATTCATACAAAACCATTTATAACTATTTATTTACTAAGTTAACTTGTTTTTGGCTCTTAAGTAAACTTGTTCAGTACTAAATTTTACATTTATCCTGAAAGTTTCAAGTCTTTAGGATTTAAACTTGTTGAGAAAATCGTACTGATGATCTTTGGCTTTCAGAATTTACAATTTCATTTATTACACAAAAGTTATTGTCATAACTTACTTTATACTCTTAAGTAAAAGTGTAAAGTACACTTTTCTGGTCAAAACGAGTTCTAGACAAAGATTTTTGACCAAATATTGACTAATTTACAGTTAAATTTAATTTTTACTCTCTTGTAAAAATTCTTTTTTTATTTTTTATCTCTACCTTGGTCTGCTCATCCTTACATGGTTTTCGTATAACATCAGATCACTTTTTAATTTATACTGAATTAAATTTACACTAAATTTACTAATATATCCTTAAATAGAACCTTATTTAACACATAACCTATTCTTTTCTATATTTGGTTCTAATTAATTTTACACAAATATTGTACTCTGTACTAATATTACACTACATTGGTAACTAATATTTAGTCACACTCATTATCCTAGTTTATTATAAATTAAAATTCTGTAATATCTTATTAAAATTACACAAACATATATTAAGCTATACCATATACTTTAACCCTTGTACTTGTCTACTACCCTTGTAAAATCATATACTTACAACTTTTACCTAACAAATTATTCTAAAAATGCCTACTCTTACAACAACTAAACCAGACTCCTATGATATGGATTATTATTATTCTAAATACCGAACCCATCATGGACTTGGTAGAAATGAAGAAACTTCTAAATCACTCTGTGTTCTTCCACCAGATATTAATCCTAATCAATGTGAAAGTCTTAAGAAAAAACAACATTATTTCAAAGTTCCCACTCAACCAACTATTGGCACATGTTTATG